TGGGTCTGCTCTGTAAATATGTTTGGATTCAACCCAAAATTGGTGGATGTTTTCTGTATGGATGGATATATATTAATATTTCAATTTCAAACTGGATTCAGGAACATGCCAGAAATGACCACTTTTGAAAAACTCTTATCCCTATCATCAGCAATCAGTCATTATTTACCAACCCCCCTGCTTCCATTTGCTGCTAAACCATTGGCTGATATGAAATCTTTGAGACCTAAAGCACATGGTTCTTGTTTGCGTCCAGCTTGAAAAACATAAATGCACTGGCTCCTCCCTGCCCCAAGTTCGAAACAGTGCTTTTTCTAAGACCCTGGACACCTCAGATTTCAGCTCATGGTAAACATGCCCATTTTTCATATGTACTCATGTATTCTGTAGGTTTCAAATTGCCATGTGATATGTACAGGATTTCATTTCTTGTCAACCTGCTTTTTTATATATCAGTCAAAGCACATTTCCAACAATGTCCTCATTTACATTTATCTAATGTTTAAGGTCATTTGTGATCATTTGAGTGTATTTCAGCATATGGAATCAGTGAATAATAGATTTCAGCTTCATGCTGTGAGGAGAGATTGTGTTTTTACAAGACATAATGTTGTTTACTGGGTGTTAATAATCACTAATTAATAAACATATCTATATTTTTGAAATGTTGCACTTTCTGCAATGAAAATGTCAAGTGTTTAACTTGCTGAGTACAATAACATTTTTCTGCCTTTTTTGCATAAAATAATGGAATTACAGAAAGTACTAACCCTACCATTCTTAGTAGCTATAGATTTCCATTGTCACCTCTTCAAATCTTCTCTTTTCTTGTTAGAACTTTTTAAATAGTATATTAAATGCTATTATAAAACAGATACTTTTATGCAAATATCTGCATCAATTTTAAATAACATTCCCCTTTACCTATTCTACCAATGTATTTTTTGGCCATTGTGTATATGTGCTCTCAACTAATTTTCACCAAAATGAATAGCTCCATTTCCAACCAAATGTTATTTAAAGAAGATGGTTGGAAATGAATAATCCATTCTGCAAACTTCTTCATCAAACCATATTTATTTATTTATAAATATAATAAATAAATATTAAAATATATTTATATTTTTCCCTGCAAGGAATCCAAGGCAATTTGCATAATCCTTTCATTCATCATTTTATCCTCTCCCCAACCACATGGAGTGGTAGGTTAGGTAGGACTAACCCATAATTACCCAGTGTCTTTCATAGCTGAGTGGGCCAGAATTTGGGTCTCCTGAGTGCAATACTCCAACCCATGCAGAAACCCCATGACTGGGTCCAGATGACACAACAGACCAACAAGGGTAAGCAAAAGCCATGACTTCTCGTGAAGTACACGCCTTATTGGAGATATACTGCCAACAACATATGCTGGTATCAGGGTTCCTGTTAGGGTTATCGTTTTACGTTTTGGTTACCACTATATGATCATCTTTCAAGCTCATGCATAAGAATTTCTTTAAAGAATATATCAAGTATTGTTGCCAAGGCCCAGCAATCCCACTCTGGGTATCTGGGTGTTCCCTCCGGATACCCAGAGTACAACTGCCATAATTCCTGATCATTTGCCATGCTTCCAGGCTGCTTTTATTGGGATTCTGTGCCTATTATTAACATATCATATTTTAACTGTAGAGCTGGAACTGCCCTTATAGGCCATCAACTCCAACTCCCACTTGATGTAGGAAAATCCAGAGTATCCCCAGGTCATGGGTGTCCAGATTCTGCCTAAAGATTTCCAGTAAGGAGTGGTTGTCACCCACTAGGCCAAGGGTCTTCCACCTGCGGTCTGTGGGCCACATGCCACTCCCAAGCTCTTTCTGTGCAGCCTTCCAACACGCTTACTTACTGCTATCGCCCTCTGAACATTTTTCCTCAGACCCACACTGTTCTTTCTGCCTCAAGCAGCACCAGCCACTGCTGTTTTTCTACAAAAAACACAATAGCAATGTTCTTTCTTCTGGTTCCCATGGTTGTTTCTGTCATCCCCCTCTTGGTCTTATCGTCTGTACTAGCATTTTGGCAATTCTGAGTGCTTTGCTAGGCAGCAGAGCTCAGGCACCCAACCACTCAGCTTTTTCACTCCCCCTCCCCAGGCATTACCATGTGGAAGGCTATATATAGAAACACAGAAACAGAGTGAGTCAGAAGGGGTATCCTGGGCCATCCAGTCTGACCCCCGGCTCCAGCCAACTCCACTCATGACATGCCTACCGTGTGCATGTCCAGCCTTTCCTTAAACACCCTCACCGATGGGGCTTCAACCATCTCCCATGGAAGTCCATTCCATACCCTAGGAATGTGTGTAAGGAAGATAAGGCAGCTGTGTGAATGGGTACAATAGATTCCTGGCCTGCTTTTGCAAAGAAGGCAGGAAAATGAGAGAAGGGATTTTTGCAAAAAGGACACGAAGTGTTTTGCATGCTGAACCCTTCTAAATACTCCACCCATCAAGGCTCCTTCAAGTGGCTTCCAAGGTTACTGGTGAGGTTGCTGCTTCATGCAATAGCATTTTTCCTTCCTCAACAAGAGCTGGTTGCTCTGACTTTCTGTCTTGCTTGCTTTTGCCTCTCTGCCCCCACCTGCTCTAGCAAGGAGACTTCTCATGCATTTGTGATTGCAGGAGCAGTTGAGCAGCCCCTTGAGCAGGGTTGAGGGAAGGAGGACTCTCTTAGCAGGGAAGCTTATGGGATTCCCCTTCCCACATCTTATTCCAGCCAAGTCCCCTTCCCCCTGGCTGCCCTTTTGTTTCTCATGATCAAGGTTTGGTTGGCGGGCAGTGATGATGTGCACCCTACATATAATTTGAAGCCAACTTAATGGCATAACCTCTGCTCCAAGTGGAAGACTACCTTTTCATTCACCCATTCTCTCTACCTGCCCTTTTTTAAACCTATTAGCACATGTAGATTTAAACCTCAAGGCAGTGTGTTTATCAATCAATCAGTCAATCAATCAATCATATTCAGTGCACTTAGGACTACAAGTCTTCCATCTGGTAGGTCAAATCCATAATTCATTTAAAAAATTATTCCTAGCCTGTGCATATGGGCCAATATTCCTGAGAACTGTAGAGGCAAGAGTCTCTTCTCTTCTTTGCCATGGTCAAAGTGAAAATCCCCAGCTATCAGCAGCCAGAGTGGGCTGGACTTGATGGGAAAGGAAAGTATTAGATCACTAGAACTATATTTCTCATATTTTTATTTATTGAAGGATAATATTAAAGCTCTGCAACTACTGCTCCGTAAAAGTTCTGTAAGAATATGTCTGCAAAAGAAAGTGCTATTTCAAAGAAACAAAAAAATTACAGATGAGCACCATGTCTTTAATGACAAATGGACTACTGAGTATTTCTTTGTTTTAAACAAGGATAAAGAAGTTTGCCTGGTATGTCCTGAAACTGTCTCAGTATTGAAGAAATACAATGTTAAAAGGCACTTTGAACATTGTCACAAGACCTACTCAATATATCAAGGAGAGGTGCAGGTGAACATGATAAATTATCTTTTAAAAAATCAATGTTTTTGCAGCAAAATAGTTTTAGAAAGCATTTTGGGGAGAACTTGTCGACAATGAGGGCCAGCTATCATGTTGCTAAATGAATTGGTAAGACTGGTATCCCATTCATTGATAATGAATTT